TTAATCCCTTCACAAAGTCAAACTTCCTTCAGTCAGGCCACTTCCAACTCACTGCAAGTGGTTTTGTCCAGACTGGAAAATGTGAAAGGCTGTCTCTAGGAGGGAAGGTTTGATTTCAGGCCCACATCTGAGTGGCCTCAAACCACTAACCTTTCAGGAGGGAATCACAACCTTTTTTGCCATTCAGAAACATTGCACTTGAATCTGACTCTGCATATTAAGTCCTGCAGGAGATGCAATCTTTTCTCCCACCCTGTTAGGATGTCTCTGAAGACCCTTAGTATCTATCAAGGGTTGACGAGTTTCCGCTGCACATGCCTCACGTCTTGTCTCCGCGTCCATCATCTGCTGCTCTGCTCTGCAAGTACAGACTGGGCCCTACAAGAAGCCTTCAACCATTTTTTCCCCCTTAGTAAATTTTTTTAATTGAGATTTTAACGAAAGGTTTTAAAGAACTTGGATTCCCATTTATTCATTGTTGTATATTTTCCTCTCTGCCCACCCCACTCCATAGGTCACTTTTCTTTTTGAAAAACAATCCTTCACTGTTTTACAAACACACACACACACTCCCCAAAGTCCACTTTTCTGTGCAGATCTTATTCTGGACTGTTGTCATGCAAGTAATACCCAATCCTATTTTCCTTTTCAGTAGTTCTATTTACCATCTGCATCAATGCCCTGGTACACTACTGATTCCCTCTTTTCTTAGTTCCCCCCCAATCTCCATGTCAGTCCTGTTTCATAATGGTGGCACTGTGCAGTATTTGTCCTTTTGTGATGGAGATGTTTCACTCGGCATACTGTCCTCTAGAGTCACCCATGTTGTATAGTATTTCATGAGTTCCTTGGGTTTCAGCCTTCAACGTTTTAAAAACTGTGCTGTTGTGGTAGCAGAAAGAGTGTTTAATCACCAACATCAAACCCAACCTAGGTCACAACAAAGGTGTGTCATCTGTGTAAATATCCTAACAGCCTGAAAAATATCACAGTATCTGAGTGTGTATTATGCCAGCTGGGAAGTGCTTTGAGTCTTTTCTTGAAGCTGTCAAGGATTTGATTTTCCTTAAATCCACAACTTAATTATTTTCCACAATTTCGAGGTCCAGTTCCACCTTACCACCAAAGCCAATCCTCAAAAGATGCAGCTTCCACGTGATAGCCCCCCAAAAAAAGTCCCTAAAAGATGCCTTTTTAATTAACTGCTGACTTCTGAAAACCAAGACAGACTCTCAAAAAGAAAAAGGGTTACTTGAAACGCTGGGTTCTAATTCCTCTAGCTTATTTTAACAATTAAAATGCAGATTATTTTTTTCCCAGCCCTGACAATCTTTCTTTTCATATAACTGGAAACATCCCTCACAAGTCTTGCCTAGCGAAGCTCACAAAACATACAACTGAATGAAGATGATGATAAAAGAGAATATTTTTTTAAATTGTACTATTTTTGGGTGTACCGTCAAATCATATCTGACTGGTACAGGAGGAGATTGCCCCCTCCTTGTCCAGCAGAGCATCTGGTGGATTTGAACCGTGTACCTCAAAAGAGAATATTTTTAAAAAACATATATACCATTTTTTGTGTAACAACGAATGAAGAGAATCCCTAAATCTCTGTAAACTTTCATTAATTAAAAAATATCTTTTGGAAGAACAGTCATGAATGTGAGGTTTTAGTACTAAAACAAAAGACTTTAGTATTAAAAAAAAAATTTAGAAACAGAACCTACAGGGTCCCTTTTTGGCAGGAAGTAGCTAAGAGAACACGTTGTCCCCTTTTCCTTAGGAATCAGGGTGAAATCTTTCTCAGGGAGGAGAGATAGGGAATGGCAAAGGACACACAGACAAAGGAGATGAATCAGAAGTGGTTTTGATAAGCACTGGACAATTAAAACAGACTTCTAAGTAAAAATAAAGGGAAAGAGTGGAATCTACAGTGGATAGCAAGAATTGAGGGAGACACTTGCAAAACCTTGGCAAGAGACAGAATCTGATGATGAGCCCGTGGTGATAGTGGTGAAGAGACTGTGGCATTGCTGAACAGGACTAGGTGTAACCAGAGGAGTCCTGAGTTAAAGGCGACAGTTAAATGTTTAGTTGTTCCTGCTGGATCATGGAAGAAGCTGACTTATTACTGCACTGAGCCAAATCTAGCTTCAGGATTTGGATTTGACTGCTCAACTGATTAACAGAACTTTAACTACATAAGAAAATATGTTTTCAATCGAATCCTATGCAGCACTGAAAAGCAAAGAACTCATGGAGCATTATGCAAAATGCATGGGGGAAAAAAATTCATCACTAATCAGATCATAAAGTACAAAAGAAATTGAATTTAAGGAAATTGGAAGGTGACAAAAATAAAATGGAACTTATAAAGAGTGATATTCTAGAAAAAATATTTAAAAAGGGAAACTTATAAAACAGATTTTAATGAATTCCTTCTACGATTTCTGTCGAAGGCAAGGTATAAATTGCACTTTTCTATTTAAGTTTTTTTTTTTACACTAAAACACTTTCACATCTGTTTTTAAGCAGAGGTTTAAAGTCGAAGAAACGACCTGCTTTTAGAATTACTGTCCAAGGTAGAAATAATAAAGGCCATGAAAATAATTTTGAGAACTAATATCAGAATTAAAAAATAATAATGAGCTTTGTTTCTCCCAAACGATTTTTTTTAAGGTAACAATGAAAGGAGAGACTGCATGTGCAGTTGCGTCGGCCAACGAGGGTCGGACGTTCGAGGTTGCAAAGGAAACGCGGCCCCGCCGTGTGGACAGTGGACGGTGCGGAGCCGGGGGCCGCTCGCACCTGGGGGACACCGCTGACCTCTGCGGACACGCGCACACAGGGGCGGGAGTGGACAGAGTCCACGGAGGAGCTGGACGTGCGGACCAGGGGAAGGACCCGCGGGGACCCCACCCCCAACTCTCCCCGGCTCACCGGCGACTCCGCGGGGAGGACACACACACCCTCTTCCGTCCGCGCGGACTCGCCCCGAAAACGGACCTGGAGACGCTCCGAGAAGCGCAGCTCTGACCCCGGCTCACTCGGAGGCCAGCGACGGCCGCGGAGACCCCGGGAGGTCAGCAAGTAACGCGGCACGCAGCCCACAACCGCCAAACAGCCACCAGGACCAGAAACGGACCGGCTGGGGGAGCACTTCCGCTTCCGGATGCCACGACTTCCGGTGCGACTGAGAAGCGGGTCCGTGGGGGAACACTAGACGCTCGCCCTTGGGATCCGACGATCACGAGTCGCACCAGGTTTTGGCATCAGTTGCAAGGATTCACTTTCCTCTTTCTCTCGCTCACTGACTCCGCCTTTCATTCGCTCATTCCCTCTCTTTCACCTAGACCTTCTCTCCATCTCCCTCCCAGGCGCTCTCATTCTTACTCCCCTCTTCTCCTTCCCTCCCTCCGTCATGCATTTTCTGGGGCTCCCACTCACTTCCCCCCACTCTCTGTTCATTTCTGACTTCTTCTATTGCACTAGGACATGTTCCCAAGACTGGCTCACTCTCAAAAAAAAAAAATAAGTGAACAGATTTTTCAAGAATAGTTTTCCCCCTCCCTTTCTGTCCCCGCAGGGTACATCCTGCTCTGATTAGAGTTACTAGTCAGATGATCCTTGGACCATCTTTTCCTAAGAAAAATAAAATCAGCCCATTTTCTGCAGCATGCTCTGAAATACCTCTCACAGCACAAGGGTGATTACTCAGAGAAGGATTTGAACCCTAGGCCACTGACATAGCGCTTGCATTTCATAGATTCGCTGTCTCAGTGCTTAGCAAATAGACTACTATTGCAATGACACAGAGAAGATTAGCATGGTCCCTGTGCAATGATCTCTTAAAACTCCGAGGGTCCTGCAAAAAAACTTCATCTTGAAAGAAGAGACCATCAACAGGTGACTACCAAAACTCCATGGATTCATGAAATGCCTCACCTTTGTTTATCAATACACAACAACATCCCTGCCCACCTACATCCTTTGATCATCCTGTTAAGGTTTCTTCCTAATTGAGTCACGATGCAGGTTCTTCCTTCTGCCACAACCTCTCCCCCTCTCATCAAGCATTTCTTTTTCCTAGGACAGGATGTTCACTTGCACAATTTTCTCTGCTTTCCGTATGGTGAGGCCAGAGGAGGGGGGCACTATTTGAGCTGGCAAGTGTGTGCAGGTGTTAGAGGCAAGAGGGGGGAGAGCAGGAAGCAGAAGGTGATGACTGTGGATCAGAGAAGTTACCTCATGAGGAAATGCACTGTGAGCTGGTATTTGTGTATAGTGCAGGGTGGGGGTGAGCAGCAGGGGGTGCTGAGTGGTTCCCCAGGATGAAAAAAAGCGGATCTGTGTCAGGGAGCAAAGAACTGAGCTACCTAGGAGGATTTGGAGGGTAGAGCAAAAGTGTTTGGGTTTTTTGGTTTTTTTTTTATACTCTGGCTAAAAATGTAAGTGGGTGGAAAATAAGGAAAACAGCAAGAGAACAAATATGTTGATTTAATAAAAGTAAAAACATGTTATGTGTAAGCTTATCCTTTAAAGTTTTGGGTTTGTGTGTGTTGTTTGTATACTGGAGTGGCTGTTACATCAGGGATAGGAGGGGCGTAGAAGCTTTGTGCATTCGCCTGTGTGTCTTTGTCTGCACCACTGAGGCAAGATGGTACGTGAGATTATCTACTAATTGCATCGGTAGAAAATGACAAAGTCTCAGAATGTTAAAGCCAAGTGTCTCATGGAGGGCTTTGAGACTCATTCTTTAGTGAATATTGTAGCTATGGTAGTGGAATAAGAAAGTCTAATGGGAGCAGAGGAGAAACCCTGGTGGTGTGTACTGAGGAGGACAGAACTGCCTAGCTCTTGTGATCTGTGCAGGTAAGTAGTGGAGGTTATGGTGGAGAGATGGAGAGTTTGGGAATAAAGTGTCCTCTTTCCCTTTGTCCTCATAACAAGAAGCTCCGCTCATCGCGTGGGCATCCCCAGTAATGGGAGAGATAGGCCACTTGGGCCAAGAGATCTATCTGGCCTAGCCCTAGGACTTTTTAGAGTCCGAAGAGAGCAGGAGATCCGAGAAAGGAAAGCATCTGCCACTTACTGGTCTGGTGTTGTTTGGAAGGCCAGCCACGGCAAGAGGCAGAAAGCCCCAAAAGAAAGGAGGTGTCCTCTCAGCAATTCCAGGAGGGGCAGTCAGAGACTGATGAAACCCATGAAGGAGTGAAAAGAATTAGGTCGATCATGCACATCCTAGGCGCTCTGGGGCCAGGAGAAACAGGTCACGCTGAGGAGAGGGACACAAGCCAGTTTCAGAGTTTGCAGAGAATCTCAATATGAAATCAGGACAGACTCCAGTCCTGCTCCAGAAGGCAACAGGACACGTAGGTTGTACACTAGCTCCACGGAGCATTATGAATCGAGTTCAGAAGAGATTCTGAATCTCTGTGGATTAGGCCTGAAAGGAGGTACAGAGAAAGAGAGTGAGAAAGAGACAAGGAAGACTCAGGGAACTAGGGTTGGCTGCCTCCTGACGAGTGCCTCTCCCGGGCTTTCAGTACCAAAAATGTAAGGTCACCGAGGAAGTAGAGAGCCCAGGTCAAGAAAGTTTATTGAGGAGAAACTGTTGGCCTACCTCCAAAGCAGAGATCAGCACCCACTTAAAGTGACAGGAGAATTACGGTCTGACAAGGACATTGGGAGTTAGGGAGAGTTTGTAGCTGCTTGGTACTGACTGACTGTTCCACATAAGGATTATGAGATGCCATCCTATCAAGTCAGCAGTCGATATGTCTGTCATGTGTCATCAAGATGCTGGCAACTACTAGGGACCCTACTTCTAACGGTTCTGAGGCGTAGGCTGTATGGAGCCAGTCTCACTGACGCAGACACACCGTCTGAGACGTGCGTCAGTCCATCTTATCTAGGACCTTCCTCTGTACACTGTCCTTGTCCTGGGAGAAATAAAAGCCATCCATGAAGTGGCAAGACGCTGCACTGTAATCCCAGACATACACGGTTCAAATCCATCAGATGCTCTGCTGGAGAAGGAGGGGGCAATCTCCTCCTGTACCAGTCAGATCTGATTTGACGGTACACATAAAAATAAGACAATAAAAAAATTAAAAAAAAAAAGCCTTCCATGAAGCAACACCTTTTGTACAAATAAGATCTTTTTTTAATTGCATGGAAAATAACAATGACAGACACAGAAATTTATAATACTGCATTTTCCCAGCTGTTTTTTCTACAAGTAAGAGTCATTGGGTAAGTCATTGGGTAAGAGTCCATGATTTTACACTGTTAACAAAGAAAAATTTAATCCTGGAACAGAAAAAACACAATAAAAATTGGTTGCAAAAGCCCACACCGGCAATATAATGATCAATCTGTCACAATGCTGCAAAATCAGACCCAGATTGTTAACCAACACTGAACGAGTCCCACATGCATGGAAAAAACATAGTAAAAACCTCTGCAAAGATCTCACTTATGGGACAGAATGACAGTTCTCCTATAGGACATCATTGGGGAGACTAATTCCTTCCTAAATTTCTTATTCATGTGTGGATGTAGTGTAAGTCCTCAGGTGCCCATTGTGGGTGGAGGAGTGACTGGACCACACACCTATATTTCTTATATTCATGCAGCCTGTCTGTCCAGGGAGGAGGGGGAGATCAACTATGTCCTATGCCGTTTATACTGTGTCTTTGGTGTGTGAACACTTGGATGTCCTGACACCACCGCATTGCTGAAAGGTGGCCCCGAATTCCTTACATTGAGATGGTCTATCTTGGCGGAACTCTTCAGGGATAATTCCTATACAAGGGTCACAAAAGGATTCCCTCCATTCCTGACGTTCCCAAGTTCTCTCTCTTGTGTAAATATTGATATGTAGTGAAGTGACACAACTGTGAAAAGTTTTTCCACAACCCTGACGTTCATAAGGTGTCTCTCCTGTGTGAACTCTTCTATGTCCAGTGAGCCTCTCTGATCCTGAAAGTTTCCCCACATTCCTGACATTCCTTAAGTTCTCTCTCCTGTATGAACTTTGTGATGTTTAGTGAGGCCATCTGATCGTGAAAACCTTTTTCCACATTCCTGACATTGGTAATGTGTCTCTCCTGTGTGAACTCTTTGATGTAAATAGAAGCTATTTGACCGTGTAAATGTTTTCCCACATTGCTGACATTCGTAAGGTCTCTCTCCTGTGTGAATTCTTGTATGGAGAGCGAGGTGACCTGAGAGGGTAAAGGTTTTCCCACACTCCTGACATTCATGTCTCTCTCCTGTGTGACCTGTTCTATGTTTCCTGAAGTGACTTGAATGTGAAAATGTTTTCCCACAGTCCTGACATTTGTAAGGTCTCTCTCCTGTGTGGAGTCTTTTATGTACAACGAGGCTACCAGATAGGGAAAAGGTTTTCCCACATTCCCTACATTCGTAAGGTCTCTCTCCGGTGTGAATTCTTCTGTGTAACGTGAGGCTGCCTGGAAGGGCAAAGGTTTTCCCACACTTCTGACATTTGTAAGGTCTCTCTCCTGTGTGAATTCTTCTATGTATAGTAAAGTGACTTGAATATGAAAATGTCTTTCCACAGTCCTGACATTCGTAAGGTCTCTCTCCCGTGTGAACTCTTCTATGGACAGTGAGGGTATTTGAACGTGAAAATGTTTTCCCACATTGCTGACATTCGTAAGGTCTCTCTCCTGTGTGGACTCTCTTATGTACTGTAAGGCCATTTTTTTGTGAAAACGCTTTCCCACATTCCTGACATTCGTAAGGTCTCTCTCCTGTGTGAATTCTCCTATGTACAAGGAGGCGACATGACTGGGAAAACGTCTTCCCACATTCTTGACACTCATAAGGTCTCTCTCCTGTGTGATTTCTTCTATGTGCAGTCAGGCTACCTGCTTGAGCAAAGGTTTTGCCACATTGTTGACATGCATAAGGTCTCTCTCCTGTGTGAACTGTTCGATGGGTAGTGAGGTGACTTGATTTAGAAAATGTTTTCCCACATTCTGTACATTGATAAGGCCTCTCTGTTGTGTGAATTTTTCTGTGTTCCTTGAGATCAGCTAACTGTGGGAATGGTTTGCCACATTCTTTACATTCATGAGGCTTCTCTCCTGCATGGGTTCTTGTGTGCCTAGTAAAATCAACAAAGTGAAAAAAGGTCTTCAAACATTCCTTGCATTCGTAAGGTCTTTCTCCTGTGTGAATTCTTCCATGTCTGATGAGGATACTGGATTTTAAAAATCCTTTCCCACATTCCTTACATTCATAGGGTCTCTCTCCTGAGTGCATTTTGGCATGGAGAGTTAAATGAGCAAGGTGAGGAAAGGTTTTGCCACACTGGTCACATTCATAAGGTTTCTCATCTGTATGTGTTCTTGTATGTGTCCATAGGCATGACACAGAACGCAAAGATGTTCCACATACCTTACCTGTACAAGGCTTCTCGGCACTGTCACTTTTGCTATTTCCTGTGCTGTCTGATGTACCCGTAAGGGGGGCAGAAGAAGAAAAGGGCTTTCCATTTTCAATACATTCATAAAGCTTACTGAAAAAAGTTAATGCTTCTTGGAAACCTAAAGGGAAAGGATTCCTATGTGTCTCAGCACATTCCGTAGGTTCATGGTCATCTATCACATGGATCCAAAATGAGGAGAAGGTACAGAAATCTTTGCCACATTTCTTACATTCATGGCTGGTGTCACCAAGGTCACTCCTCAACAGGTTTATGTCGACACGGTTGCAGGAGTAACTCGGAAATCTGATGCACATGTTCCCAGAGAGACTGTCTTGAATCCAGTCACACAGCTCCTGTCCTGATGGACTTTGGAGAAAAATAAACAACACACAGTTGTAACTAAGTGTGTTCCTATAGGCCCACAATAACACAACAGGACGTGTGAGTGACATCATTTAGCAAAAATATAATTCCTAGAACTGCATTTATAAATCTAAGTACACTTTCTGATACCTGTTTCCAAAGTCACAATGTTTCTCATGAGTATTTCTTGTGTTTTGTTAATGGTTTGGTTTTTTTCTTTTTTATGATACTCACCTCCAGTAGTTCTCTTGGATTTTATGTAGATTTCCTTTGCCACACAATTTTAACATTTTCCCTAACATGGAAAACCAAGGGTGGGTAGTCCTTAAGAACGTCAGCTGAGTACATACAGGGGATAATGCTTCTCCCTCACTCACGTGTTCAAGGCCTGCTATATAACAAAAATAATTTGGACAACACAGAAAGAAAAGAAAGTGACAGACGTTAGGCTGCTCTCAAAAAACAGTCAAGTGGGCACATTTTTCAGTTTCAGCACGTTGACACTGGATGGCAAACCGTTCACTAGGAATCCCTTCTGAGACAAATCAAAGACATGATGATATAAATGAGATTCCTCTGGGTGGATAATTACAGAGATGACTCACACAGCACACACGACATCACACAGAACAGTACACACATGACAATGCACAGAACACACACAATATCACAGAGGATTCACAGAACATGACACAAGACACACATCACAGGAAAAATAGAAAAATGGCTCCAGGACAGGTCTGCTGATGCAGAAAAGAGTGTCCAGTGATCTCTAAGTTGCTCTCAGATACAAAGGCTTCCATGAAGAAATCATTTTGCATGTGTGAGCGCTAAATGCCAGGTGACCAAGCCTGTTTCATTGTACCTTATATTCCAATTCTTCAGCCAACGTTCAAAAGTAATGTGCAGGAATTTATTTTCTTTGCATTCGAAGGATTTGCAAACAAATCAAATCTTATTTTTACCTATGAAGTCCAGGTTTTCCAAGATTTCCATCATCACGTCCCTGTGGAGTTTTTTCTGAGCAACACTCAACAAAGGCCACTCTTGCGGGCTGAAGAAGATGACCACATCGTCAAGGAACAATGGTGCCTGAAACACACAGCGTATTCTGAATCAGATCGGTACCTTGTCTCACAATTTGGGCAAGAGCAAAAAAGGAGCCTCACATAGGGAGAAACCAGTGAAATGGTACAGACATGACCAAAGTTCTATTTTTCTTCCAAGATCTACTCAGGGGCTGAGACCTGAGTCTTGTTCTGGGCCTTATGACCTTCATTTTCTCACTGAGGAAATCCTGGCCATACGATTTACCACACTGTCAATGAACCTGCAGACAGATTGTGAATATTTGGACACATAACCTGAGTCCTGGAAAAAAACCCCAAAACCAAAACCAGCACAAAATAGAGAAACAGTGAATCTGGAAAACAAACCTGTTGGCAATAGTCAATTTCATCTTCTTTTGAAAAGACCTTTAAGAACAATGAAGAAAACATAAAGGACAGACTGAAAGTAGAGTGATGTCCTACCATCATGGAAACACTGCAGAAGGGAAATACTTTCTTCTGTCTCTTATGAGAGTACACAGGGTTGACAAAAGCATATTGTGGGAAGCCAAAGGTTCAACCAAACGCTTACACAGGAACTGAAGGAGGCACAAATACAAGCTGGAATTCCTCTTGTGACAGATCACAAAGAATTAGGTGGTCTTTCTCCTTAGAAAGACACTTCGGACAGACCTGGTGGCACCTCTGCTAGTCCCTGATGTGGTTGTAAATGCATTATTCCTGAGATAAGCATAAGGATGTCAGCAGAGAAATACATAGTAGCCAATTGGTAAAGAATTTTCTCTGTGATTTATCTCTTGGGAATTTTCAATAAAGGCAGGAGAGACTCTCAGCTCTGGGCTGCAGTGTTCAAGGTGTTAGCCCCCTGCCTTCACTCTCTCTCCCCCTCCTTCTCAGTGTCCGTGTCTTCATTCGTCCATGTTGACAACAGCATATGGAAACACAAGTTCTTTTTGTTGTTATGTGCCGTCGAGTCATCTGTGACTCCTAGCGACCCTATGTACAACGGCCCTAAACTCTGCTCTGTC